AGGTCTGCAAATGCAAATCATGACAGAAATAACTGGGTAGATGTTATGTTTTTATACCACTGTGTGCCTCATGTTGAACATTTGTTCAACAGTGTTAGCTGAAATGCACGGCAAGCAGAACTGCTTTGTCTTTAAAAAACATCTTCCTTAGGACTGTTTAATCAGACACAGAAAATCTCACAGGTGTGGTACGGTTTGTGTTGGGGACATGTTTTTTTCTGTTCCATAAAAACTCATCTGAATTTAGATAACATTGCAAGCCACTGCAATTCTTCACCCATGCTGAATGAATTTTTATACTTCAGCATCTGAAGCTGGAGGACCCTGGGCAAGAGGATGTGCTGTGTTCCTTCCCAGCTTCTTCCCAGGCACAGGACCGGGCATGTACACTTCCACCAGCACATGCTGTGAACAAGTACTGCAGGGGCAAATCAGGACTTGCCCTGTAACTGAAGGTTTGTACCAGGATACAGCTGAGCACTAGCAGTGTGAGAACTGTCTTTTCCTTGCTCTTTCAGATCAACTTTTTCTTCTACCGCCACCTGGACAGCACCGAAGCTTCATGTGACAAGTAGCTGCTTGACTGGAATACAGGCACAAGAAGGGCTGAATTTGGGAGGAAGCAGTACCAGAGACTGCTACGCAGGACTCCAGGGGAGGTGTAAAAAGGAAACTGCGAATGGTAATTAGAAGAGCAGAAGATGCTGTGAAGTAAGACTGGGAGCTGGAGGTCATTGGAGATGAAAGGTGGTTGCACAGACACTGGCTCTGAACTCCAGTGTGCTCAGTGAATAGGTGGGGAGAGGTGCCCGAAAGAAATTTGACCAGGATTTGAGAAGAGAGTTTTGGAACCTATTTGGCAAGAAGATAAAAGGAAGGTTAAGATTCATAAAAGAATCTGGACTAATTTTGTGGGACCTGGATGAAGAGACTAGGATCGGGGATGAGAAGCCTGGGCCAACGTGTCTTGGATTGAGGGGGGCAAGAAGAATAGAAGCCAAAGATAGGGGAGAGGGAAGACTGGCTTGTGAAAGACAAGGGAAGGAGGGGGCAAGCTTGAGGAATGAAGGGGGAAGGACCAGTGTCCTGTTCCCACTCCCAAACTCCCAAGACTACAGTGGAGCCCAAGATTTCACCTGCACTCTTAATGCTTCCCTGCTGCAGCAAGCATCTGTGAAATTCTCCGGTGAAGTAGAAAGATAGCAACCTGATGTTGCCATCAGCTGAGCAGTTAACTCAAATGGTGGAGATGTAGGTGACAGACTGAAGGGATTTTTTATGCCAGGCTTTTTCCAAATATTATTTTTGTTAACTGAGGAATCTGAAAGTGGGGGAAGGGGGACCCTCTTCCAGGAGAACGAGGAAGAACTCCAAAGATAGAAAATACCAAAATCAAAACAGAATAATCTCCCTTCCCTCCTCCCTGGGTGTATATTTTAACATTTTCCTCTGAAGGACCCTACTTTTTTCTGTGCATGGAATAAATCTTGCTCTAATGGTGAACTGGACTGTTCAGTAAATGAGACTCTCATTTGCAGAAGCCCTGCTGCATCTGTTGCAGAAGTTATAAACTATCTATTGAATAAGGAAGAGAGAGGATGCTCTCAAAATTAAAGCAGCTGAATGCTACCCTGGAGAAGTGGGTTCTAACCCTGTCTGTACCACAGAGTTCCCAAATGATGCTAGGCAAGTCCCTTTGAATAAACATTCACAGGTGGTCACTTACTGTGTGTTCCTCATTTTTGGCATTTCTGACTCGAGACCCCGGTATCAGATTTGCAGAAATGCTGAGTAGTACCAGCTGCAACTGTAGTCACTGAGCACTGGCCTGAGCCCACAATCTGCCCACAAATGCAGAACATGAGTTCTTAGGTATCTTATATCAAATACACAAAATTAGTGGGTATTCTCTAATTTAATCTCTTTGTGCCTTCATTTCACATCTGTAAAGCAGGGATCATAAAATTATCTTCACATCACAAAGCTCTTAGGAATATAAATGTCTTAATGCTTATATTGCATTCATATGCTGTAATGGGGGGAGCATAAAAAAGTCCATAAAGAGGTTAGCAATTCTCTCTTGAAAGCAACATCTGACTGTGTAGTAAATAATGTTTGGGGATGCAATCAGTAATGAAATCCCACTGGCTAGTTAGTCACTAAAAGAGCACTATCCCATACATGCACTGAATGAAGGAAAGATCTTGTAGCAGAAACAGCTGGTGAGCATGTCAAAATAGTACCATAACACACATAAACAGTGAGGGCAAACTAAAGTTTTACCAGTCAACTTAATTTTGCCATGTTGTAACTAACTTTTGATTACTTAATTTGTAATCTAATATCCTTTTAAAGGAGTTTTCACTGTGTGCACAGACAGGGGGTGTGTGTTTTTACTAGTTTCTTACTTTAGAATATAGTCTCATCTTCCTGTTTTTTAAAAATTATGGACTTCTAAAGGGACTTCTTGATCCTTACCAGAAGGTGCAAGTATGTAAGTCTTTAACAGCAATAAAAAAAATTTCCCAAATGTTTTGAAGATTTTTGACTCAGATAGAGGTAGTCATATAAAAAACAGTAACAAAAATGTAACTAGCTAAAAATTCCTTCCCCTCAATTCTCAGATTCTCAGTGTTCATCTCTATTTTTAAAATGACCAAAATAACAAAGTCTCAGACGGATTACGGGCACAAAGCACATACAACATACTTCAGAAAGTTGTGGGAAGGGGAATCTCTGGAACTGTTTACAGGTCAGAGATGACAATGACATTGCTAGTGCTCCATTTAGGAAAGTATCTGGGCTGAGCTTGCAAATAGATTTCCAAGCAACATCAGCCTCAGCAGCACCACGTGAGGAATTAGGATTACTAAATGGCCTCTGTCTTTGTACAGACTCCAGCTAGTTATGAGATGCAGTTAGAGCTTGAGATGTGCCTGTGGCTAAGAAGCCATCTGCTCTCCTCATTTCATTGTTTCATTCATTTTCTAGCTGTCCATGGTCTTCTAACACAAACATGACGTGAAGACCTTGATATGTGTAGTGCAAAAATAATCCATTTATATACTGATGAGGAAAGAGAGACACCAGGGTTTTTTTATAAGCAAAATTAAAAACAGAAAAAGAACATGGCTATATTTTCCTCTGCACAACATTTCAAAGTAATCAGATTGTCTCTTATTCAGTACTATTTGCCTACAGCTAAATATTAAGCATCAGTGATAATAAATCCCACAAGTGGCCTTTTAGAGTTCTTTCTTTACTATTTCAGTGTACAAAGACTGATGAAAAAACATTTGCTTGTGAAAATGGCATAGACCAGTAATAACTTGGGAACTGAAAGGTACCAAATGAAAGGAAAATAAGCCGAAAAAAATGTCATCAGCTTTGATTAAAATAATCTTTGTTGCAAGTATGGAATTCCCACAAGAACGCTAGGAAACAATTGTAAATCTACTTTTAGAAGACTTACATGACTCAGCATAATGTTTATTAAAAATAAGTTCCTCTTTTTTTAATAGAACTTGAAACTTGTTAACATATAGTAGCACCATCCTCGCAGAACAAAAGCAATATTTCCACATCCTACATTTCAGCAGACATACTAGCTTTATTTTAAGACTCTTTTGAAGAAGTAAATGCAATCATTACACAAAATATATGTGGAATGTATTTTTATACAGAAATTACAAGGTACTACATAGGTAGATAGCCCAATACATAGTGTGATACAGATAGAGGTGTGTGGCAAGAGGGAATACAAGGATAACAGGAGTTCAGCTGATAAACGTGCTTGTTCTATGTCAATGTAGAACATTTGCCTTGCACAGATCAACGACAGATAATCCAGATTAGCCAGCCTATCTTGCCAGTTGGAATGGGTACCTGGCCAAAAAACCTATCTCGTGGCTCATCTGACCAAAGAACAGAAGACGCAGCAGACTTCTCCGAAATGACGCTTTTTTCTGCACCAGTAGTAAACTGTATTATACAGTATATTGTCTTTTGTCCTACTGGAAGTACTTTTCTGCAGAATGCCCTGTATATGGTGAATATCTCTGAATACATTTCCATTTCACTGCTTCAGTTCCAGTTAAACTATACACACTTAAATATTATGTATAATTTAGGTGTCCCTTTACCAAGCATCTGTTTTAGTTGTGATTCTAGATAGCTGTTTAAGATAGTACACGTTAGTTATATACCTTAGTATACTATTGCAAGATTTTGAAAGCACAGAATGTTGCTTGCTTTTGATGAGATCCTTTGCTCCTTCTGTTCACCCCCTGTCACGATAAATAGCTGCTACTGATCTCCAAATCATTCCCCTGTGACATTCCAGGTGATCTGTGACACACCACATGAACAATTGTGCATTTAGCTGATGAACACACAGAGTGATAAATGAACTCGCAGAAGAAAAAGTCACAAGAAAACTTCAGAAAGTTTTCACTGAGACTAGGAAGCTTCAATGGAAAGTAGGGTCTAGCAGCTGGGAAATAAAAGTTGCTGATATCTTGCAAAGGTAGTTTTAGGGGTTTTTAATATTTGCTTGCGATGTTTCCCATATGCAGCTGACTGCTGTCTTCAACAGCTTTGAGCAGAATGCCTGAGCAACATACCAACTCCTTTTGAAATCTATTGCCCCCTCCTATGGCTACGATGATCCTGCTTTTTCCTTGGTGTGTTCAGAGGCTACAGGTCTTAAATTTGTTGCAAAGCGCTAAAGAGCTTTCTGGGGCTCAGGGTGTCTGTTGATTACGCTGTGGACTTTTCTGAATTGGATATCTAAAAAATGAGTTGCTTGTGATTGTGAGGGACTAGAGTTGATGATCTAATTGACCCTTTCTGCCCCATGTTCCAAATCAGTTTGATGTTATAAAAATACCAATAATCTAGCCATGAAAAAGCAAGGTTTTTTTGAACTAGTATGTGCGGACATAGAATTTTTCATTCATAACTATTACATGCTGTCATAAACATACCTTTTCATACTGCTGATGGAGACTGATCAGAGGTAAGTCCTTATCAATGGAATTCTATATTTTGTCTAACATGGGATGAAACACTGTATGATGAGGCCAACTTCTGCACTGTTGCTGATTGCAGTGCAAAATGAAACGTGACATAGGGTTCAATAACTGTTCTGATTCCTGAGCAAATTACATTTTTTTAATAATAAGAAACTCTGAAAAAGTACTGAGCTTTTAAAAGAACCGTTTGAACTGTTGGAACTGCTAGTTTAAATGCATGGATGTTAAGCAAATATTGTTGTGGTTTAACCCCATTCGGCAACTAAGCACCCCACAGCCGCTCGCTCACCATCTCCCCCCGCAGTGGGATGGGGGAGAGAACTGGAAGAGCAAAAGTAAGAAAACTCCTGGGTTGAGATAAGAACAGTTTAATAATCGAAATAATAATAATATAATAACAACAACAACAACAATAAATTATGGAAAGTAAAACAATGAGGAGAGAGAGAGAAGGAACAAAACCCAGGAAGGAAAAAAAGAAAAACCAGGAGGTGATGCAACCGCTTACCACCCGCCGCCCGCCACCCAGTCAGTTCCTGAACAGCGAACGCTGCCCCCCGGCAAACTCCCCCCAGCTTATATACTGAGCATGATGTCACACGGTATGGAATATCCCTTTGGCCGGTTTGGGTCAGCTGTCCTGGCTGTGCCCCCTCCTCACTGTCAGAGCATGGGAAGCTGAAAAGTCCTTGACTTAGTATAAACACTGCTCAGCAACAACTAAAACATCAACATGTTATCACATTATTCTCATGCTAAATCCAAAACACAGCACTGTACCAGCTACTAGGAAGAAAATTAACTCTATCCCAGC